CCAAAACGTAAAAAAATTTTTAAGATTTTTCCACCCCTTTAAATAATTTGGAATTTAAAAAAAAAAAAAAAAAAAAAAAAAAAAAAAAAATTGACATGGTTAAACCGTGAAACAACACAACTTTGAAGATGGTTGTTTGCCATTTATTGTTCAAAATAGTGATTCGATTTTAAGCAAAGAATCAATTTTACTTTATAATACGAATATAAATATAAATAACATAACATTCGACTCCATGCTCTTGATGACTGCATCCTTGAGCAGGGATCATCGAAACCCATTTGAAGGTTTGCAAAAGATTAAAATCTTCAAAACCTCCCCCAAATAAAAACACTTAAAATACATCACTCTGTATGTAACAAAACCACACGAGACACAGCTTTCACCTTTTTAAACTACATTACAAAAATAAATAAGCTTTTCAATGATCATCTGACTTATTCGTGAGATGCACCTGAAAGCCAATTTCCCCTCCCCCCAAACATTGTAGTGACACCAGGTTTAAAAAGCTGCAGGATATTTATATATATGTATATATTTTAAAAGAAAAAACATAAAGATTGTAGATTTTGTTACTGTATGGCTACAGGATGCAGGTAATCAAGTAATAAAGGGCGACAAAAACACAGATAAAGTGACCGCTGCGGCTTCGGTCCGCGGTGAAGCCGTAAAATTTAAAAATCTATTAAAATCACCTTTAAGAAAATCATGTGAAAACAGGTTATATTTTTTTTTCTATTTATATATTTATATTGAGACATCCATAAAGAGTGGCACTGAGGGCACGTCAGATCATTTTGGCTCTGTGCTGCGTTTTCATTGCGACCGCTCATGCATCCCCCCTCCCTTCATGTCGACATCATGATTCTAACTCGCCCTCTCTCCCTCTCCCAAAAATAATAGAAAAAAAAAAAAACAACCACGAAGAAAGCAGTAGTGCAACAAACTTTTAGCAGGATTATTTCTCTCCCTCTCTCTCTCTCTCGTTCTCTCTTCTGAATGAAATGAGTCAAGTACACGAGTTCATCCACGCGACACGTCTTCAGTGAAACACAACACTTTGTGAGTTTGAAACTAAATGTACAGACTGCACCTTTAGACCCATTATAAGGAGGTTTTTTTTTGGTTCAAACTAAAATGAAAGAAATACAAAGAAAAGAAAAAGGAAGAGAGAACCGTGAGCTTGCCTCGGCTCCTTCCTCCGCCTGTGCGGGGGTTTTTTTTTTTTTTTTTTTTTTCCTCGGCGAGAACTAAACACAAAGGGATTATTGAAAAATAAGGCTACCAGGCTGAGGGGTGTTTGACGGCACCCAGGCTGAGCTACATTCCATCTTTGACAAAAAAAAAAAGAAGGAAAAAAAAAACCCAGGAGAGAAAAATAAATTTTTTATCTTCCAGTGACGTATGAGCGATAAAACTCTTCTTATTTTAGTTTAGTTTACTCTCTCGCTGTCACACGCGACGCGCTACCTCACGCTGAGCGTTTATTTTTTTTATTTCTTCTTCTTAAATAAGCTTTTGATTTTAGACGAGGAGCGCTTGATTTTCTCCCCGTTGTCGCACGAGTCCTGGGAGGAGGTGCTGTGGAGCTTGTAATCTCTCCCCAGGCTCCGGCCCTCCGAGTCCAGCGAGGTGAGCGACGGGTTGCGCCCCACGTTGGGCAGCATGCTCGCCGGCAGCTGGCCGTAGCTGTAGGACTTCTCCAGGATGCCGTTGTAGACGCCCTTGCCCGTCGGAGAGGCGGCGCTGCCCTGCGACAGCGGCATGCTTTGGGACTCGGGTATGACGCGGGTGAGGTCGGGCGAGCCTTTCGGCACGAACGGGTGGTGCTCCAGGGCCGGGGACGGGGAGGTGGAGGGCGGGCCGGACGGGGTGGCGGCCGGCGTCGGGGGCATGGGAGGAGGCGTGGAGTCCCTGAGGCTGCTGCTGCTGCTGCTGCTGGTGGTGTGGGTGGAGGAGCCGGGGCGCTCCGGGCTGCCCTGGCCCAGCAGCAGCAGCTCCTCGCGGGAGATGCGGCGGTACGGGGCGTCGGCGGCGCCGGGGGATTGCAGCTGCTTGCGGCCGATGGTGGAGCAGAGGGAGGAGTCCGTGTCGGAGCTGCCGTCCTGAGCCGGTTCTCTGACGGAGAGGGAGCAGAACAAGCGGGGTCACACGCTGAAAAACGTCACCGCAAAGCGTGGGAATATGTACGACTGTTCAAGAACATCAACCACAGAGGGCAAGAGGGACAAAACACACGAGCCAATTCACCATTTTTTTTTTTACATCAACAAAACAGGAAAGGCTTTTAAATACACCTATTTTTCAACCCCACTCTGGTGCTATTGGACCTCTACTGCTGCTAATGCTGTGACCCAGTTTTACCTCCAAAGCCGCAAAAACACAAAATCTCACAAGCACTTTTTGGTCTGTTTTCTCAGAACACTTGAAATAAAGACAAAACTAACTCACAAATAACTTCTCAGAAAGAAACGGGAGCTTGTTTTTTAGTCAATAATTCCTTAATATTGCTGAAAAAGTACTAGCTACGTATGAAATAATCTTCCAGTGGAACAAGACATTTTTAATTTACGATATGGTGAAAAACACATTGTTCCACTGGCTGATTATTTCACTTATACCTAGTATTTTTTCATCAATATTAAAGGATTATTGACTTGAAACAAGCTCCTGTATCATGCTGAAAAGTTACTTGTTAAGTTTGTTTCGTCTTACTTCGAGTGTTGGAAACTAGACCGACAAGACCTTTGTGTTTTTTCAGTCTGGTAAAGACTCGACCAGGCTTTGTCAAGACTCTTGGCTATAAATTAGAAAGACTGGGACAAAAAAAAAAAAAAAATCAGATCGTTTTCATTTTCGGGAGACAGTTAGTCCTGCAGTCAGAAGGCTGAATCTACAACACTCAGTGAAACCCTCATGGTCATCTGTCAGTGTCTGGATAAAACACCTGTTAGTCCAAACTGTAAAACCATTCCATGGCATCCCGGCCACAGCTACATACCCCCTCCTATCCAAACTGAACATAAACTGGTCGTCGTCTGCGTCGGGGCGATAGGAGAGGGACGAGCCGGCCATGGACAGCAGGTCCGGGTCCGGGGACATCAGGGACGACTGCTGGCTCAGCAGGCTTCGGCGGGAGCGGCACAGGCTGCTGTTGCGGGTCAGCGGGGGTCGGATCAACGCAGCGGCTGGGAGGGAGAACAAAGCAAAGATCGGGCGCCGTTCTGGAGCAAGCGGCGACGTTTTCTCCCGCTGAGGAAAGTAAGAAGACGGCGCGGCGCACTCACTGGAGAACTGTGGAATGATGGGAGGCGTGTCCTCGTCCAGGTCGTCCACACCGCCTGCGATGGGGTACGGAGGGACAGAGACCCGGGGCATGACCACCCAGCTGTGGTCCGAGTAGAGGCTGGCCGTCAGGCTCGGCAGACCCGAGTTGTTGACGACGTGGAAGCCGCAGAGCTTCTCGATCTGCTGCCAGCGGTGAAGCCGCTCCCTCAGGCACGCCGTCACCTCTGACAGAGCTTTCCTAAAAAAAAATTAAATACATTTTTTTAAAAATAACAAGAAGGAAAAACTAAATGAGGAGGATGGCCCTGGATCTGAACGTGCCGAACTTGGCGAGAGATAGAGAGAGAGAGAAGCTTCTCTGATGCACATCAAAACGTCCTTCCGAAGAAGTTGACGAGCCAAGATTAATGCGCTTTTTGGCACAAAGCGGTCCCGCTGTAAAGCTGGACCACTGCCTAACAAGAAGCCAGACGGAGCGCTGCACTTTCTTCTCGTTTCTCCCTGTGATTCCCTTTTGGTGTTTGAACAACTGAACAATTCCTTGCACTGGATTTTATAGGAACTCTAAATGACTTCACAGACTCAACAAACTGAAGCGCCCAGAAGAAAGGCCTGATCTGCAAAGAAGTGCAGAAAGGATCAGGAGCTGGAGAGTCACCGGAGGACACCGGTGGTATTAACACCAGCCGGCGTTGCATGCAGGTGGGACTTGGCGGACATGTTTGGGACAATTCGGGGTTTGCATAACGTACGTTTTTCAAAAACAATTAAATAAAACTCTCACAGGTGTGGCATGCTGTCCGTATTCAGCACTCAATGCTGGAATTTGACTAGGCCATTCTAACACAGGACTATGTTTAGGACTGCCAAGGATTTTCTTGCACTTACCTTCATAAATCCTCATATCAACTCTAAAGGTGGTGACCCCCACAGCATGATGCTGCCAAAATGTTTCCCAATTAGCAGAATGTGCATTGATAGGTTTTCTGTCACGTACGCCTATTTATTTGGGTGTAGACCAAAGAGTTGCCCACCACTGTCTGACAATAAAGGCTCTGACTGATGGATGTACGTCCAAAAAGACTGACGAACGAATAATAATAGTGAGTCATAATTTGTACTGCCGAACGCCCCTAATCGCTGGTAAGGCACTGATTGTTATTGTCAGGATATCTTAGATGTATTTTTCTATGCTGAGCTTTAGCTAAATAAGAGCCAGGCCTTGATTACATGTGTAAGGAGAATCGCTCTGATTCTCGGTCACTTCCTGAATCAGTTTACTGCAAACAAACAGTAAGACGGCAATAAATCCCAGATTAATGAGGCTGTTTGGGGGTTTTGTGCGGCTGGTGACTCGAACTCCAAATACGCACAAAGGCTTTAGCCGTGAATGACCGAGAAATTTAATTTCTCTCCATTTTGCTGTCCTCAGGGCTGCTTTATGTTAGACTAAGTTGTTCTAATGAACTCAGGTTAAAATAAATGATCGTAAATCAGATTGCGGGGGGAATTGCGCACGCAGAAAGTAGACTGGAGTTCTTACTTTGCTTCTAGTATCTTGTGGTCCACCTCATCCAGGGACGAGCTGTGGGCGACGTGAAGGGTTCCGAACACAGAACCTCTTTTCTTTTTTATTTTCTCTGCCTGAAACAAATAAATAAAGAGGGAGAGAGGGGAGCCAAAGTTATTTACTGAACTTTTCTGCAACAGCTCAGAGTGAAGCAATGGGATCCAACGAATGAAAACATTTGTTAAAACTTCTACAAGTTCGATTTTTTTTTTTTTTTTTTTTTTTGCAGGTATTTTACAAATAATTTTTAAAAA